TGTAGGTATATTGATACATGTAAGCTGGGCTTACAAAAAATGTTTTTCCTGTCATAACTAACTACAGGGTTATTTTTATTAAAAATAATAAATTACTGCTGTAACACTGTACAAAAATTTTATAGACAGTCATTCTGGTGTCACTCCCGTCTAACAATGTCACCGAGTGCGGTCTGCACCCCCCACGCTCCCCTAGTGATACCACTGTTCCACCCAGATATACTGAATCAGAATCTACATTTTAGCAAGATCCCCAGGTGATTCTTAAGTGTACATAAGAACCAGTTCAAAGCCCTGGTATAAAGGATCAACCCCAATCCCAAATAACACTACACACCGGGCGCGGTGTTCACGTGTCAGCTTGGCTCACACCTGTCTTGACAGGGCATGCGCAGAGGCTGTGCTGCACAGTCTGTGCACCCACATCCCCTAGCCCCACGCCAGGATTTGGCTGTCTGTCTGTCTGTCTGGAGATGCTAGCACCCATGCCCTGCTGTGAAGGCAGCCTTCAGGAATCAGTCAGCTCAGGGGCTTTGCAGAGGCTCAAGAAGGCAGGGCGTGGCCTGTGTAAGAATGGAGACAAGGGAACAGAAGGAAGGGGAAGAGGAAATGAGAGGCAGGCAGGGGGCGGGAAGGGAGGGCGAGAGTGATGGAGGGGGTAGGGAAGGAGCAGCAATGGAGGGGAACGGGAATGGGGGGGAGGAGCAGGCCATGTCTGGGGCACCCATGACCATCTGTATGCTCCAGTGATGAAACTGGCCACCCAGTGTCCCGGGGACAAGAATGCTGGGAAAAGCCAGGCTCAGGAAATGCCCTCAGGCAGACACTTTTCTGTGGGTTGGCAGTGCCCGCATCCTGTTCCCTTGCTCTGCCCCGCACCACATGCCCTCCTTGCCCCTGCCCCCCGTAGCACTGCCCAGTGACACTAGACAGAGGCTATCAGCAAAACGTCACACACACACACACACACACACCATCGAAAAGAGAGCTTATGGGGACAGAGTTACCATCCTTCCCAATACCCAGACCTCTGGAGGCCATTTCATCGACCTCTGCTGCCCAGCAGTTCTGGTGGGAGCAGGATACACCCTGCAGTCACTGCCCTACCACCACCCCCTGGCCCTGAGCCCAGGAGGTGCTGCCATGCCCACGGGCAATGCCCACACACAAGCGGCCTGTTGGGCAGGTGGCAGACTTAGGGGAGGACAAAGGAGGTTGGGTTTAGCAGAGGATGGGGCCATAGGCCAGGGAGAGGCAGTTCAGGGCGTGTCCAGGTCTCCCTACACTCTCCCAAGTCTCAGCCCCTGGAACCTTCTCACCATGCAAGCACTCCTCACAGACTCAGGTACAGGCGGGGATGAGGAGTGATGGGAGGTGGGGCTGCCCCACACCTTCACCTGGATGGGACGCCTTGAGGGCTGACACCTCCCCAAACCTATCCACGTCCCTCTGCCACTGCTCCCATCAACCCCTTCCCCTCCCAGGAAACATGGGCAGGCCAAGCCTGCCCCTCTACCCCAGCCACACCGGAGGAGGCCCCATGTTTCCTGGAGGGCCTGCACCTTCTCCTAGCCACCTCCTTCCCGACCTTGGCAACTTCTGCCCCCTTCTACCTGCTCCTAGAGTCTGGTCACACATGGCAGCTCCGGGCTGGCCTATGCTCCTCAGCCCTCCCTGACCACCCACAGGAAGTGGATGCAGGGCTGGGCCCCGGACAAATGTCTCCAGGGGTGAACCAGGATGGAGGCAGCTGTCTAGCCCACAAGGAGCAGGCAGCTCGCCCACAGGGGTCTGAGTGTGTGCTTGCTGCTCCCACCCTCACTCATCTGCAGGTGTGGACACAGAAGGTAGCAGGGTCAACATCCTTTGTCCTCACACGTGAGGTGTGGTGATGCTGTCACTGTTTCACAGTGAAGGGAACCGTGGTGCAGAGAAGTGAGTCATTGGCTCAGGCCATATGGCCAGGACATGCTGTGCCAAGACAAGCACACAGCCAGGGATCACCTTGTGGGAATGACACTCCCAGTCCCCAGTGTCCAGCACGTTCTCTTGGACAGCATGGTACCAGACGATAAGGAAGACAGGGGCCCTGCCCTGCCCAACCCTGGTATGCAGAAGGTACTCAGTACAGAGTGAATGATGAACGGAGGACTTGGAAGCAGTGGCTCTTCTGGCCACAGATGGAGTCATGTTCTCCCCTGGGAAACAGGTCAGTTAGCAGCTACTGACGCTGAATTTGTAAATACAGGGTCCTAAGTGTGAGAGAAGAACCTGATATCAACACCAAGTGCACACACATCCAGAGGCACACCTACATATAAGAACACCTGCGCAAACCTGTACATGCAAAGGACAAAGGAATCAATATCCATGTGGACATTGCCACATGAACATAGTGACAGCACAGCACGCTCACGAGAGTAGGAGCGCAAGGCCAACACGTGTGTCCTCACACTCAGAGCCACCAAGGGCCCTCCTACTCAGGGAGCGGGAATGGAAGCCACCAACTCACAGAGCCAGGACGGGGTCAGCTTGGATCAGCATGGTGGCCTGTTAGGCCACCTGCATGAGTGCAGGGACCCCGGGTCCAAAGGATGTGCTCTTCTCCTGGCTCTTCTTTCTTGGTGGTATGAGGTCCAGGCGCTGAGAAACTCCTAGACCAGGGGAAGACTGATGACAAGGACCTTCCACCAGAGCCAAAACAGAGGCAAAACCTTCCCCTGGAGCTGGTGCCCTGAATTCAGACTTCCAGGCTCCTAGACCGTGAGAGAATAAACGTCTGTTTGTTAAAGCCATCCACTTGTGGTATTTCTGTTATAGCAGCAGTAGATAACTAAGACAGAATTTGGTACCAGGAGTGGGGTGCTGCTCTAACAGATACCTACAATGTAGAAGCGGTTTTGGAATCGAGTAATGGGTAGAGGCTGGAAGAGTTTTAAAGTGCCTAATAGTAAAAGCCTAAGACAGCATTCCATCAACCCAAAGAAAGACCATGCTGTAGAGGGAAAAGCTCAGCACTAAGAGGCCTGAGACCCAGGGCTGGCTTTGCTTCTAGTTAGCTGCATGACCCTGGGCATGTCACCTTCCTTCTCTGGGCCTCAGTTTCCCCATCTGCAAATGGAAATAATTCTTACTCTTATGTGTAGTATTGATAAATCAAGTAGGAAAAACAAAGTGGGAAAGGACACTGGAATATGTTCACAAGGGCGCAAGACAAATTCTTTTCAGGTTACTGCTGCCATCAACATCTCACCACCACTACATCCTAAGAATTGAACCTCAGGGTCTCTCTGGTGTGAGCAACTCCACCAGCGCTCCCTGGGAACTGACAACATGGCGCAGGTCAACACCTCATGGTCTCACCCCTGGTGCCTGCCCACCTCCCAGAGTTCCCCTGATTCACTCAGCCTGGTCTTGAGGCACCTCCTCCCAGGACTCCTTCTCGTGAGCACCCGATCTGCCAGGCCTGGGGACCCCCATCATCTTCTCTAAAGGTGAAGGACAACCCTGACTACTAACAAGTCTCTTAACAGCTGTCACATTTTAATTTATAAACTTTTCCACCCCCTTGCTGCATTCAAAGGACCTGGAAAAGGAAAGGAGTGTTTCCCCCTTGACAGTGTGGGCACAGCCCTGCCTCAAAGCAGGTGAGAACTTGGGTCTTGTGCCCCTCTGACCACACTCCTCCCTCCGGGCCACCCTCAGCCCTTGGATTTCTCAGCTTAACCCACACCCCAGACCACCTCCTTCCCTTCCTTCTGCAGGAGGTACAGTGGGTCTTCATCAGGACTCCAGCCACTGGCCCAAGCCAGACTGGTCAAATGCCACCTCCATAGGAGGTGTCCTCGGCCCTTCAGCTGTTACCCACCTGGAATGCCTCTTCTGGCATCTCCACCTCCCAAACCCTTCCACCCCCAAGGCCACACGCCCTGCTAGGGTCGGCCTGAGTTGCCTGAACCTGTATTTACATCTCCTGTTTAACTTTCCTGGTGTTGCCTCTTGTCTTCCAAACCAGACTGAGTGACAAGGAATATGCCAAAGTTTTACCATGAGGCACAACCTTACCCATATCTAACTTAAAGCTTTGTTTATGGAATTGAACTTCAGCTTGCCCAGAGCATCTCCCCAAGATGCCATGAAGACCTCAGTCAGTCTCCCGTTTAGTTTACAGAGGGGTCAATGAAAGCCCTAGAGAGCACTCCTCGAGGCCTCCAGCCCTCAAATCTCTCCTGAATCTACCCTCCAGCTTTCCCTTCCTCAGGATTCCTTGTCAAAAAATGGGGATTGCTCTTTGGCAGCCTCTGAACAACTCTATGTGCATCATTACACCCGAAAACCAACTTCAACACCCCTTCTGGCGTGGACGCCGCTTCCCCCACATGCCGCTTTCAGGGTACTCCCAGTCTCCCTCACATGCCCCCTCCCGAACAGCCCCCCGCTCCAGTCCCTGCCCCATAGTAGTCTGGGGAGGTAGGGCAGGGGGGCAGGGAAGTTCGGTCGTGGGGGAATAGCGAGGTTTCAGAAGGGGTTGTGGGGAGGATGGGGGTGGGTATGTTTGGGGGATATGGAAGTTCGAGTAGGGTTATGAGGTTTGAGAATGGGGGTGGGGAGGTTCGAAGTTGGGATGTTGGGGGGAAGTGGGGCGACTGGAGGGGAGGAGTGGGGAGGTGAGGGAGAGGGGGGTGGGTAACTGGAGAGGGTGGTGGGGATGTTCGGGAAGGGGGAGTGGGGAACTTGGAGGGGGGAGTGGGGAGGCTGGAGAGAGGGGGGGGGAGTTGGGGGCGGGGGTTCCGAGAGAGAAGGATATGGGAAAGTTTGGAGTGAGGGAACCGGGGAACTCCAGCCCTAATATCTTCTTCCACCCAGGCTGAGGGGGACAAGGGCGAAGCGCGCGGCCGGGCACTGAGCCTCCAGCAACAGCGTACCCCCCGCCCCGCCGCTCCCCAGCCGGAAACCCAGAGACTGGGCAGGCGGGGCAGGTGACACCTGGAAATAAATACCTGGGCCCGGGAGCCGAGGTCGACGCGAACGGCCGCTGGCGGTCCGCGCAGAGGCTGGGCCAGTCGCGGGGCCGGCGGGGCGGGAAGGTACCCCTGATTGGCTGGCATGCCTGGCCATCCCCGGGGTTTCCTGGCCACCTGATTGGCTATGCCGCTCACATGACCAGTTCGACCCTATCGGAGAAGGCCGTGGGGCGGTCCCTTTGTTCTCCGCAGCCAATCGTCGAATGGGCGGGCTGACCCCCCCCCCCCCCCCCTCGGGGCCGCGCGAGTTGGGACCGGTATTAACCCGTTCGGAGCCGGGCACGAAAGGGTGGGGCGGGCCTCCAGTTTAAAACGCTGCCAAACATCTCAGCCTTCGCCCGCAATCCCGGCTGCTGCCCTCCTGGGTCTCCCTTCCTGGGACTCCTGGAGACTCTTGAAGGTTTAAACGTTTCTGAGGTCGGACGCGTATTGCCCTGGAAGCGTCCATCCCCCAGATACTGACCGAACGCCGACCCTCCTTCGTGCGGGAACGAACACAAGCCCCTGCTCGGAGCGTCGGGCGAGGGCACGTCTCACACGGCAGTAGTTCTTCCACTGAGAACTGCTGTTGAATCAACGCATTACAGTGCATCACGTGTCAAAGTGAAGAGTACGTTGGTGAAGAGACTGTCGCGTGGGTGTGGGCAGGGAGAGAACCCGCGGCGCCCCCTTAGCACCCAGGACAGCAGTGGGCACGTAGCCGGTGTGTAATGACTGACTTTTAGGGATCGCTACATGAGAATTTTAGAGTTCTCTACAAGACTCCTTCGAGATCATTAAATTCAAACCGCTCGTTTCCAAGTTGAGGAGACAGCCGTCTGGGAGGTATGGCCGAGTTTCAGGGCGGACTTAGAGGTGGGGAGTCACTACTTATGAGTGGGATCATTTCCCAGTTGCCAGCCTGGTCCACATGGCCAAGGAGGGTTTTCTGTTCCCAGAGACCTTCAGGATAGAGAACCTTCTCATCTACACGCCCTGATTGGGAGGAATTCTTCACGTCAGTGAAATTCCTCACACGTCTATCCCAAAGAAGGCACAGCTGGGTCAGCTTCCACTGACAGAATTCTCTCCAGAGCTGGTCAGAAACTGCTTTTGGGACGTGAGGTTAATACAAGCAGAAGCTGGGTCAGGACCTTTCTCTGAGACTTCCTGAAAATCCCTGTCAAGCTTACGACCAGAAGAGGACCTTATTTTAATTAGTCAACAACTACCTGTTAGCATTTGCCATAGGTCCAGCTTCTGTTTAGGCCTCAGGAACATAATAGGGATTGGGGGACGGAGATTCTAATTTGTTTTGTCACTAACATCGTGCAATTTTCACAAACACACTCCACTGTCTCTGGATGTTGACATACTCATCTGTGAGACAGTTGATAATCTCCAGTTACATGTCTGCCTTATAGGATTTTTCAGGATTCCTAATGTGTTATTTTCTATAGAGGCATTTGTAAAGCGTGAATCCCTACAGAGGTCAGACATCACTACGACATCAACTCTCAAAGAGTCTTTATTAATTTATTTTCTAGATTACCCTATTCCTTAAATAGGAATTAATTCCACAAACCTTTGTTGAGAAGAGGCTCAACAAAGTTTTGTGGAATTCATTCCTACTTAAGAGCCCAGTATTCCAGTTCCAGGTCTGCCTCTGGCTACAAGTGTTACCTCGGAAAAAGTCCCTTCTCCTAACTGGACTTGTTTCCTCCTCTAGAGAGTTAACTCTTCCTTCCAGATCCACACTCCATGACCAAAGGTGTTTCAGGAGTGGAAAGAATGAAGCACACCTGGGGTCCTATTTCCATTAAACAAGAAAGGGGAAGCTGTATAGATATATGTTTGCAAATATTCAGAAAAAATGTCCAGAAGACTATCCCTCAAACTCTTTATATGGTTAGCCTATGAGAAAGAGAAAAGACGTGGGGGTTGGGGTGGGAGAAATGAAGGAGGTCTTTCACATTTAAAGGAGAAATCCAAATATGTCTGCATTGTTTGACTTTTTTTTGACAATATTTTGTAATTGTAGAAGAAAAAAGAGAAATCCTGGACTCTTCAGAAGGGTAGCTCCTAAACACCAGCACCTCCCTGTCCCCATCAACTACTGTCAGGATGTGCCACACTGAGGAAGGACTTGGGAACCACTGGGCTCCCCAGGGATTCAGGAAGAACCATAGGCAGGTTCACACGGTCCCTCTTTGACCAGCCTCCTCAAGGTCACTTCTCTAAGCTTCCCTGCGCTTCAGGTCTCTCCTCACTATCTCTACCCACAAAGCAGTGTTATAATCCATAGTCCTAGAGGATACCCAGTGCCCACCTTGCCCACACCCCAGACTATTTCCTTTAAAAACAATTTTTCAAAAAGTCGGGGCCCCTGGTAACATTCCCTCTCTCATCCTTTTCTTCCAACCCCCCAATACTAACCCTAGGTTTCTGAGGACCTATCCACTATTCCCCACCTACCATCCCCAGGTCTACCCACTATTTCCTGGTCCCCCAGGAAAACACTGCTCCCATTCTCTGGAAGCCCTGTGCTCCCTTAAAGAGAACATACTTAAGAGGACTTTATTGAGACAATGGCCTCTGCCTCCAGCCTCTGAATTTGCCACTACACGGGTTTTTAAGTGGCCCTATAACCAGATCTACAGGGTTGCTGTGAGTTGGAATCAACTCCACAGCAATGGGGTTTTTTTGTTTTTTTTTTAATAACCAGATCACCACCCATCTGTCAGTTTGTTGTACTGTGGTGGCTTGCATGTTGCTATGATGCTGGAAGCTATGCCATTGGTGTTTCAAATACTAGCAGGGTCACCCATGGTGGACAGGTTTCAGCAGAACTTCCAAACTAAGACAGACTAGGAAAAAAGGCCTGGGCATCTACTTCTGAAAATTAGCTAAAGAAAACCTTATGGATCACAACAGAACATTGTCTGACTTGCTTGCTTTGGCCATGTCATCAGGAGGGCTCCACTGCTAGAAGACATCACGTTTGGTGAAGCAGAGGGCCAGTGAGGTCAAGGAAGACCCTTGGTGAGATGGATTTGCACAGCAGCCAAAACAACGGACTTTAACATGCTGGCAATCTGAGGATGATGCAGGACTGGGCAGCATTTTCTTTTGTACATAGGCTTGCCATGAGTTGGAGCTGACCCAATGGCAGCTATCTATACATAAACTGATAAACAAATATGGAGTTTTGAAGCTGTCTGCTTCCGTCCTACACATCCAGCCCCCCGCCTCCATCTCTCTCTACTCATTATTTGTGTACACACACGTGTTCCTTCCTAGACTTAGGCCCCTTAGGGGTGGGGACCGGGTCTTGTCTTCCACCATCACGTCAACCACACGGTAGAGACATCTAGTACTTGACCAAGAGCAGCAGCATACCCCACCCCTCCAGTGAACAGGGTGGTGGTGAAGAGCACAGGCTTCAGCAGTTGGACAGACCTGGGTTTGAATCGGGCTCTGGTGATTACACTGTATGACCTTGAGCAAATTTTATCTTTAAAAGAGCCCTACCTGCCTCCCAAAGGTTCTTGTGAAGATTACGATATAATTTAGGTCAACTTCTTTGCACTGTGCCACTCTCAAACAATTGTGGTTATTATTATGCACTAGAATCGGCAATGTGCCAGGGATCTATGCAGAAATTACTAAGCAAGAAAAGGGCCTGCTGATGCCTGACAAAAATAGGCACTCAGATTGGTGTGAAACAAATAAGCAGTGCAGAGAAGCACATGTAGTGACGGCAGAGACTTAGGGAATAAGCTAGCAACAGAGGAATTTCAGGAGAGAATTCCTGACTCCCTCATATCCTCTTTTCTTCCTGGTAACTGGTACCTGCAGTTTTTAATTGACCCCAAAGGTTGAGTGCCTAGATGTGCTGGATCCTGCACCCAGTGTGTAGAACAAGAGTTGAAAGCAGCCTTCGCTGCTCATAGCTGCCTACCTACTACGGGTTCTTTCTTCATGCTGTCAACCCCACAGTGTGGACTGCTGGTGGAAGGGTCCATGTGTAAAGTCTCCCACTCCAGGCGACTCTCAGTGCTCACTGGTGTTACATGAAGGCCAAAGTGGTGAGGAAGATGACGATAACCCTGGTTCTACCATCAGGAGGGCAGGAGGGCAGGATCTTGGTTCCAGGTCTGAGCTTGCTGCCCACCATAGTCACCTGGAGCCTCGGCCTCCCCTGCCAGAAAACTAGCCTAACTTTCTAGGAGGGCCTTGCCTCCTCCTCTGGCACAATGCGGAGGAGCTTAGCAAGTTCTGGGCACTTGGCATGTCACCACCCACAGGCCCCACACCTCCCTCGGAAGCCTTCTTGCTCCGTCCTCAAACTCCACAGCTCCCCAGGGAAAAGGAACACTTCTCAGCCACCAGTTCTAAAACCAAATTTTTATTCTCTAGTTTGAAAAGGAGGGTAAATTAGTTGCTCTGTGAAGTTCCAGAGAACAGAACAAGGCCCGATAGGTAGCTATTATAGGAAAGCAGATTTCATTCATTATAAGGAAGCATTTCTAACAATTAGACTTATCCTACAATAGAACCAGGGCCTCAGGAGCTGGGGAATTCCCTGTCACCTGTTTAAGCAGAGGCTGGCACCTCATACTAATACACCTCAAAGAAACGCTAAAAAGGAAACTCATCCAATATCTCCCCTGCAGCTGACACTTCACTATCAGTGGGGCTGTCCTTTCCATAAATGTTTGAGGTCTGGCAGGAGGGAGAGAGAAGCTGGAGTGTTCAGAAAAAGGCCCGGACATAGGGGTGCTAATAGCCGGGGTGGCTATGTGTAGGGAGGGGTAGTGGACAATGCCAGAGCCGCCAGTAGGCAAGTACCCTGGGTTGGACTCTGGGGAGGGAAGGGGATGAAGTCAGCACTAACAGTTGTTAGTTTAGGTCTGGGTGCCTATGCAGGGGGCAGAGGGAGGGGACAGGATGGGACAGGTAAGAGCAGTTCAGCTTCACCTACAGATGCTGGACAAAGTCCAGGTGCTGTCTAACAAGGCCAGCAGGTTCTCCAAGGGGTATCCAGCTGGCCCACTTTTCCTCCCCGAGTGTTTATTTACTAAGAATTATACCACACCTACTTCCAAAATGATTTGAAGTAACTTGCAATAAAAGACACAGGGACATTAAGGCGGTTAACACCAGAGAATGGAATGTCCTCCTTTCCACTGGTGGCTCTTCTAGCCCAAGGGCGCTATGGGTAGATCAAGATGCTATTGCTACTTTTCCAGGGCACAGGACAGGGATGGTAGCTTAGCGAACAGCTGGAGAGCCAGGGCCCTTGCACTCTGAAAGTAGATTCCTTGCTGAAGGGGAGGTGGGCTCACTTCACCCCCAACCCCTCTGCCCCTTCCAGTGACTTACATCCCATCTGCTATACCAGCACCAACCAGAGCATCCCGAGCCCACTGGGACACTCCTCTCAAATGACATCCGAATCCTATCTTCCCCAGCCTCCACAGCCCCTGTCGCTCTCAAACATCATGCTGCTTCTGATGGGCCAGGAGTTTCTCCTCATCGTCAAAGGTCTGGCCACAGATAGCACAGCAGAAGGCGCCATCGCGGATGTGGCTCTTGCGGTGGGTGATGAGATTGGACTTCTGGCTGAAGCTGCGGTCACAGTCGGGGCACGCGTAGGGGCGCTCGCCTGTGTGGATGCGTCGATGGGACACCAGGTTGGACTTCTGGCTGAAGGCTTTGCCGCATTCAGGGCAGACGTAGGGCTTTTCACCGGTATGGATGCGCCGGTGGGCTGCCAGGTAGGGCTTGTGGCGGAAAGCCTTGCCACAGTCTGGGCAGACGAAGGGCCGCTCAGGGGCATGGTCGCGCCGGTGGGCTGCCAGGTGGCTACCCTGTGAGAAGCGGCGCCCACATTCTTCGCAGGCAAAGGGCCGCTCACCCGAGTGGACCCGGGTGTGAGCCACCAGGTGGGTCTTCTTGCCAAAGTTCTTTCCACACTCGGTACAGGTGAACGGCCGGTCTCCAGTGTGCTGCCGCTGATGAGCACGCAGGAAACGTTCCAGGCGGAAGCTCCTACCACAGTCATCACAGCTGTAGAGAGACGGGGGCGCTGCGGCCTGGGCCTGCGGAGGCTCTTGAGGGGCTCCCAGCAAAGGCTCTGGGGCAGGCTCCTGTACAGGATTCAGTGGGGCCTCCGGGGTGAGCTCTGAAGAGGGCTCAAGTGGGCCAGCTGGAAGCTGGGGGCTCCCTGAGCCAGGGGTACCCTGGGCAGACCCCTCAGATCGCTTGTGAATCTTGCTGTGTGACAGAAGGTTGGGTTTGTGCCGAAAGCGGCGCCCGCACTCAGTGCACGGGTAGGGCTTCTCACCAGTGTGGATGCGCCGGTGAGAGGTCAGGTAGGGCTTGTTGGTGAAGCACTTCCCACACTCAGGGCACTGGTGGGGCCGCTCGCCCGTGTGCACACGACGGTGTGCAATCAAGTTGGGCTTGTGCCGGAAGCGCTTGCCACAGCAGGCACACTGGAAAGGACGGTCGACAGCATCTCCACCAGGCCGGGGGGCAGTCACCGCCGGGCGGCCCCTGGGCCGAGGTCCAAGAGCCTTGGCTGCTGCCTCCTCGAGGGCCTCGGCCACATGAACCCGCTTGTGAGCAACCAGCTGGTCCCACTGGGCAAAGCTTCGGCCACAGTTGCCGCATATGAAGGGCCGGGCCTCAGGGGGGCGGGGGTGGCACCGCCGCAGGTGAGCTCTGAGCCGCTTTCCTCGCCAGAAGCGCCTCTCACATCCAGGACATGCGATGGGCCGCTTTGCAGCTGCGTGGGCTCGCAGATGCAGAACCAGGGCCACCCAGCCTCTGAAGCCCTGCCCACAGGTGTGGCAGGCAAAGCCCAGGTCTGGGGTGGCTGCAGCATGGACCTGGCGGTGCAGTGCCAAGAAGGGGGCGTGGCGGAAGCGGCGCCCACACTCCGGGCAGGGCAGGGGCAGCCGGGCCTGGCACCGCCGGGCATGAAGCCACAGGGCCGCCCACCCTGGGAAGTGCCGCCTACAGTGGGCACAGCGGTGGGCTCCCCCCTGGGGAGCGCCCAGTGACCTCAGCCCGCGGGGTTCCTCCTCCAGGGTCTGGGGTGACTCCTGGGAGGGCCCAGAAAGGAGTCGGGGATGAGCTGGGCCCATGGCCAGGGAACCCCTGCAGCGCCGTTCCAGCATCAGTTCTTCCTCTGCTGAGGGCAGAAAAGCAGAGTCACTCGAGACATCAATACGGCCTGTCCCAGTTCCTTCCCTGACGGCTCCAGCCCCCTGAGGAGAGCCCATTCAAACCTGACTCCTACAACCCTGGACACTAGGCTAGATTCATCTTCTATTTTGCGTATATTCCATTTGATTTCAATCTTGAGCCTCTAGGTAACATTTCAAGTCTATCTGTCTATCTCCTTGCTGAGCCTGAGGCTACTGACACTTCCTGGAACCCCTCACTGCACCCACCTCTGTGTGTCGGGCATGCCATAAACACCCAGTGCTCATCAGGAAACGCAGCCCTGTCTACCTACAACACTTCATGCTTTCCCAAAGTACTGCCCTATCGCCCTTCCTCATTTCTGCTACTTCCTAAGGCTGTGTCTGAGCTCCACAGCGACTGTGAGGCTCGAGAACAGCCAGCTCACTGTCTGACAAATGAAGCAAAAAAGTGACACAGGAAACCAAGAGCAGAACTGAGACTAGGGGACAGTTTTCTAAACTCCCAGTCTAGGGTTCCTTCCTCGAAAACACTCGGTTTGTAAAGATCTCACAGAAAGAAACTGCTATAGCCTTTCGTTCCTATTATCCTCTTCAGGTGCTGCTTTACACATAAGTAGAAGCCTGGAGAGTGAGAAGAGCCGTTCTCAGGGAAGGTGAGGAACTCTCAATGCTACCCCCAGCAGCCTCCTGCCAGGCAACCGCCTGTCCAGACTGCGCCCACATTCTGCCCGCCTGCCCTCCTCCGCCCACATACACAATGAGGACATCGCAGGAAGGAAAGCTCTCCCAGAATCCAAACAACACCCACATTCTGCTACCCTAAGGGCCACAATCCCTGGCCTTGCCTACTTTAGGATGATGGGGATTACTGGGGCAGGAAGAGGAGAGGAAAAAAAGAGATTATAACCTATCCCCTGCCTGGTCCTGCCTCAACCCTGCCAGGGGCAGTCCCACATACAACTCTTTCCCAGGGCTAGGAAGCCCAATTCCTACAGAAGTGACTCCTGCAAAAACGCGGGGGTGAGGGTGACTGTGAGATGCCTAAAGGATCTTCACTGCCTTCTCTCCAGCGGCAGACACACCCTCCTAATTCCCTAGATCCTGCCCTCCCGCTCTGGAGGACCCCCGAACACAGGGAGATCACTCATCCTTCCCCCACAGGCCCCCTCGCCCCCACCAGGCCGGGGAGGCATGAGCCCCGGGCTGTGGAATGCTCTGGGAGCACAACAAAGGCCACACTCTACCCTGGAGGCTGTGGGGCTGGGGATGCGGCTTGGTCCAACTCCGCCTGGGGACGCTCCTGGGGAGACTTCTGCGGCAGTAGCGCCTGCTTCGGCCCCCGCTCCGGTAGCCCCCAGAAGTCAGAGAAAACTGCAGCAATAAAGACACCCCCACCCCCATGGCAGAGCTCAGACCTCTGACTGCGGAGAGGCCAGCCTTACCTGCGGGGAGGGGAGAGAAAACGCGCGTGAGGCTCTGCGCTCCGGAGTGTCCTCACCGCCGCAAGGCGGCCCACCCCTCCCCCGCCAACAAAGCCGCGCACGCCGGCCTTAAGCCTGGCAGAGTGACCTTAACGGACACTTGACTAAGAAACGAGCGTGTCCCCCCATCAACAAAGTGCCCTGCTGTGTCGTGGTCACTTCCTCCGCTGCGAGGCGCCGAGCGCGTTCTCCGTTCCGGCCGGGCTCCGGGCTCCGCCGAGGCCAAAGGCCGCTTAGCGGCCCGCGGCCCCTCCCCCACCCTCCCTCCAGCAGGATCCAGGCCTGGTTCCCACCGGCTGACCAGGCTCGTCAGACGCCCCTTGGCGTCACGACGGCAGGGACCGCGCGCCGCGTTCGCACTCTCGCGTGTCCTCCACCGGCGGACACACGGCTGCGGCGGGGACGCCGCTCCGGGCCCACCGCGGCGCACCCGTGCC